AGCTAGAAAAGAGAGAAGTGAGCAGAGAGACAGGGGGACCTCATACTACCAAGAAAGCAGTACCAGGAGCAGAGCGTGTCCTTTGGACCTGGGGTCCCTGTGCAGAGAAGCTCCTAGTCTGGGGAAACATTGATGAGGAGGCTGACAGAGAAAGCCTTCCCCTGGAGCTGACACCCTGAATTTGGACTTCTAGCCTACTTTACTGTGAAGAAATAAATTTCTCTTTGTTAAAGCCATCCACTTGTGGTACTTCCGTTACAGCAGCACTAGATGACCAAGACATATGTGAATTTGCAACTTTGGCCTGGCTCAGTAAGGGCTAGGTAATGTCATCTTTAGCAAAGACTGGTATGTTACATTTTTTTCTTCAAGGTCTAAGATTCGAGGGTTGTTTATGACTTAGTTTCTCAAGACCACCTTACAGAATATAATTTTATGTCATAATTCTTTTATCATAACATGTATGTGCCAAGCCAATTTAGGGAGGTTTCTATAATATCCTGTATGCAGTAAGTCAACTTAGGTGGGTTTTTTCATATAACGTATCATATAAATGTACTACTAGGGATAGAAGAGAGTATGGTGGTGGTGGTCATAGGGAGGACTTAGCCTTAAAGGAAGAGAGCAAGAAATGCAGAAAGAACAAAATGGATCCTGGAGGGAGTCAGTACTACTTTAGCACTTAAAAATCAGGGACAAATAATAGTCCAGCACTAAGATAATGATTGGAGGTGAACAATACTAAAAAATAGATGAAGAAGCACGTCAGCGGGGGAAAAGGGTACATGAATTAGTGCCAGAGATACCCACATATATTGGGAAGAAAACAGTGGCAAAGAGTAGGGATTATGAAACCAGCTTTCTGCTTTTGTAACTTTGGCCTCTGCTGACCTCGGGTGGCTTTCCTCCAGTTGGCTGCTCTGTTGGGATGGGAGATGATGATAATGCAGTTTGTTCTGTAATTTGGTTTTGAAATTTTGGAATTTTTTTTGCACTTCCTTTGTGGCAAGGGAAACCCTGGTGGCATAGTGGTTGAGAGCACAGCTGCTAACCAAAAGGTCAGCAGTTCGAATCCACCAGGTGCTCCTTGGAAACTCTATAGCGTAGTTCTACTCTGTCCTGTAGGGTCGCTATGAGTTGGAATCGCCTCGACGGCAGTGGGTTTGGTTTGGTTTTTTGGTTTGTGGCAAGAGTGACAAGATCAAATCTGGAGGAAGGAGAACTGGGAAGGTGTGAGGATAGGAGAGACTGGAGTCCAGAGAGCAGTTATGAGGCAGTTGCAGTAGTTCAGTGGAGAGAGAGAAGGTCTGAACTAAGGCAGTAGCAATGGAGGCAGAATGGACAGGATTGGGTGACTGACTGAAAGAGGAAGAAGGAAGAGTTGAGACCAAGTCTGAAGTTTCTGTCTGGGAAACTGGGCAGATAAGGGAGCCTAAAACTTCAGTGACCACCTGCTGTGCTGGTGAAACCAGGGATATAGTCAAAGAAGTGGGATCTTGGGGTAGACTTATATTTAAGCCAAGCCAGAAAGTGCTTGAATGCCTAGGCTTTACTCAGTCTTGAATGTGTTTAATATTACTATTATTTTAAATAGATAGTCATTAAATTCTTATGCTGGCTCTTTATGGGGAACAAAGGTGAATTATGCATCCATTCAACAATATTTATTTAACATCTACCATGTTGTGGGCTCTGGGGTAGGTGCTAGTGACACAGATGGATAAGACAAATATTCTGCTCCCTAGGAACTTGTATATACATAATGGGAATATAAACTAGTACATATGAGGGCTGTAAGAGAGAGATCTGAGTAGGGCTTTGATTATTCAGGGTTAAAAGAGACACAGAGGCAGAAAATCAAGGGGCATGAATGGAGAAATTGCTAGTCGTATAGTAGAGATTTTATCTTTGAAGTCAGAAAGACATAATCCTGGCTCTGTCATTTTATTAGCACTGTAATACTGGCCAAGTTAGTTAACTACTCTGATTCTCAGTTTTCTTATCTGTAAAATGGGGATAATAATTCCTGCCTTAAAGGGTTGTGGTGAGGATTAAATGAAGTAAAGCATGCAGAGTGCCTAGCACAGTGTCTGGTACAGAGGAAGTGCTCGATAAATGTTGGCACATTGAACAGAGAGTGCTTGAAGGAAGGGGACGATCAGCTCGTGCCTAGCACATAGTGGACACACCTTTTGTTATTTAAAGGAACAAAAAATTAGTTTTGGGCCAGATTGTAGGATGCCTTGGAGAATGTCGTTTTCTAGCCACTGAAGATTTTTGAATGGTGGAGTAAAGTTATCAGAGACAGGTGCACTTCTGGAAGATAAACTTGTCAGTTGTTTGTAAAGTGAACTGGAGTTCAGAGTCCAAGGGACAGGCAAATCAGGTAACTCTTCTAACATTTCAAACAAGACTAATCAGCCTCGCTCCCCATCCTTACAGAACTTGGGAGATATATTCATAATTTTTATTAATAAAGGATGATGAGTGCTATGGTAGAGGTACAGATAAGTGCTTGGGAAATGGTGAATAATTGGGGGATGAGAGTATCAGGGAAGGCTTCGTGGTGATGGAAGAAACATTCATCTTTCTCCTTTTAAAATAATGAGATTTACACATGGAGCCTAGATAAGAGGAAGGTATTAAAAGTGGAAAAAAGTGTGAGTAAAGCACTGAGTACAGATCACTGATGGATAGTGATTAAGAAAGAACTAGAAGTATAGCTTGACTGGGTCAGGGTGTGTGAAAAAGTGCTAGAGAGACTTTGAAATATAGGTTGGGATGAAATTCACTGCATACCCTGGAGCTAGCTTCAGTTATATACACAAAATAAGTGGAAGAAATCTTTTCTCTTTTTCACATCGTCTATATTCTTGACATATTTTTAGTCTCCAAGTAATTACAGATAGACTTGAATGACTGCTGTCCTCAAAGAGTATATATCTAGGTTAGTTAAGACTCACAAACAGGAAGAATTTGGCAATGATGTAAGTATAGTATTTCAAAGACTGTAAACATTTAGAGAGAAGGATGAATGAAGAGCAGTTTCCCAAATGAGTTATTTTCCTATGTCATATCTGCATATCCTGTCATTTACCTATTTATTAAAATAGATACATTTTTCCTCTTAACTAAATTTCTTTTTAGAACAGTTTTTATCATTGCCTCAGTGGAGAACCTGTACCATTAACCATAAATAGAAGTTAATTAAAAACAAACCTAATAAAGGCAAACAATATTATTAAATTCCAGCTAAATAGGTTGTCTGCTGAAGGTTGTCTTTGGTCAAAATGTATACCAGCACTAGCACTAAACTATGATCCCTGGTGGCTCAGTGGTTAAGAGCTACAGCTGCTAACCAAAAGGTCAGCAGTTCAAATCCATCAGCTGTTCCTTGGAAACCCTCTGGGTCAGTTCTACTCTGCTCTGTAGGGTAGCTGTGAGTTGGGATTGACTCAACGGCACATAACAACAACAGCACTAAACTAAGACTATCTCCTTGATGTAATCAGAAGATTGAAAAAAGAATTGGAAAGGGAATGAGTTTCTCACTGTGTGGGTTAATAATGTTCTTTTGTGTTATGTCTGTTCTGTTCATATTCAGTGGTATGGATCTCACAAATTGGGAAATGCCATTCTAGAGCATACTCTGATTAATTCAACAAATGGAATACCTATTATGTATCTAATATCTATAGTGTTAGATGCTAAGTCTCTAGTGAACAATAAAACACAGTCCTCAAGTAAACAACATGGTAAATCCTATATTAACTGTGAGCGTAGGGTGCTTTGTGAGATCAGAGAAGGCCCCCTGGAAAGTTAAATATTGAATAAACAGGAGAAACCCAGGTATAGAGTGGCGGCAGGGCAGGAATGAGGTGGGGAAGGCTAAGGGTAGGGGGAGTGTCCCAGACAGAAGGAAAATATAAAGGCTTTCAGGGAACACATTGTTTTATGATTTTGTCTTTGGACTACAAACAAATTTCTTCTGACAATTAACATTTGGAAAGGCACCATGGTTTAGTGGGTAGAGTCAGGAAACTTAACTTTGGCAAACCTCATTAGTACCTACTTTGGGTCTGGTGGTGTGGATACAAAGATGAATAAGAAACGTGGCCATTGCCCTCCAGAGGTCACAGTTTAGTGGAGGCAATGCATTATGAACACATAATATAGAAATATTCCATGTACTATGAACAAGGTATTGTTGGAGCCAATGCTGTGGGTGTTTTGTGTAGTTGTAAGCATAATATGGAGTCCTGGTGGTTCAGTGGTTAAGTGTTTGGCTGCTAACCAAAGGGCCGGCAGTTCAAATCCACCGGCTATTCCTTGGAAACCCTATGGGGCAGTTCTGCTCTGTCCTACGGGGTTGTTATGAGTTGGAATTGACTCTATGGCAATGGGCTTGGTTTTTTTGGAAGCATAATATGTGTCTGGAGTTGGGGCAGGAATGGAGACTGGAGAGACAAGCTGGGGCAAAATGTGTTTTCTTGTGTTTGTTTAGTTGCTCTGTTGCTGAGTAGCAGAACCATAATTTTGGGTTTCGTTTTTCACATCAGAAAAGGAAGGAGAATGAACTGGATGATTTCTTAGACATTTCCATGGTTGTTTTTAAGTGCTCATCTACTAATCAAAAGGTTGGTGGTTTGAACCCACCCAGAGACACCTCAGAAGGCCTGACAATCTTCTTCTAAAAGGTCACAGCCACAAAAACCCTAGGGAATGCTATTCTGCTCTGCGCACATGGCGTCGCAATAAGTCGGAATTGACTTGATGGCAATTGATTTTTTGAAAGTTGTTTAGCTTTCTTGGTTATTTTTGGCATGAAAAATTATTAGCTAATTGGTAACTCTGTATTATCTACTGAGCAGAAATATACCAACAAGTGTAAAAGCCCCCAAGGAGAGCTCCAGAGACATCTCCATTCTTGGGATAGTGAGTCCTTTCAAATATGTGCTGACCTTGATATTTTACCTTCTCAATCTCTTTTTAAAAATTAGGTTTAACCCAGAAGAATATAGCTAAAAAATATGATTTTCCCATACCTTTGAGTGAAGCATCCAAAATAATGAAGAAGAAAAAGAAAGAGGTATATAAATTTAAAGGGGCATGAGCAATATTTGAATTTTAGATCATCCTTTCTAAATACGAACATGTGTGGATACCCAAGACAGTGAAAATAGTTCCATCTTTTGAATAATTTATTGAAATGGGAAAATAGAAGTAATTTAGCAGAAATGGAACTTGGTTTGGAAATATTTATGAACCGTAAAGAGTAATTTTTCTAATGTTTGAAGGTATAAAACACATTTTAATCAAAATGTAACCCACTGGAAGATTTTTCAAAGCATGGTATATGTTACATAGACTTTAACAAACTGTGACAGGTAATGTAGTATGACAAGAAAACCATGAATTTCACAGAAAAGAATAATATATCCATACTAGTGACATAGTGTTCTTTTTAAAGACAAGGGATGCATATTAAGTTTCTATCAAGAAAACCGACAAGGATGTTTACCGCTGAACCATTTTCACTATTGGTGGTCCAAGTGTCATGGTACCTTGAGTGTTTTAAAAACATTCAAGATCAGTTGCTCTACTTGATCTTTGATTGCCACTATATATTTTTGTACTTCAATTTAAAGGAATTGTTAGTGATAATGACACATAAAATTGTATTGTCTATGAGCTTTGAGTTTGATTTACAATCCATTTAAAATATATATGGCATATCATCTATATATAGTATATATTTTACATATAGTATAAAATAACATTAAGATGACTTACCCTTGCAGCACATGTATTTGAGTGACCATCTAATCTTCCCACTGTACTAAGAAATATTTATTCCACAAACCAGTTCTTCTTGAGAGAGGAAAACAGATTAATAACGAATATGTACTTTAAAACTACCATGTGCTAGACACTGGGCTAAGTGCTTTACACATTTTTTTAATTAATTCTAATAATTCACTATATTAAGTTATTCCTAGATGAGATGTAAAAACTTGCCCGGTGTCAAACAACTGGTAAGTGGCAAAGCCAGAATTTCAACCTAGATCAGTTTGATCCCATAGTTCTCATTCTTTCTACTCTAGTATAGAGTCCTATACAGGGACCTTAGTATATTGATGCTCTCCAGTAATTTTGCTTTAGTATGTCCTAGGAGAAATATGTAATTCTTACTAGAATAAATTACATTAAAAAAGCAAATCATTGCCCAGTGATTTAGACATTGGAATAGAAATTCACTCTTTTTATTACTTTTCAAAAACAAAATGGAATATATGGGAACTATTGAGGTAGGACTGTGTAGACACTACTTTTGAAAGGAAACTTCATCCAGGACAGTTAAATTAAATACTACAAGGAGGAAAGGCTAGAAAAGTTGGAAAAAGAGATCAAAGAATTCAGTCATTGTGGGGAAACAATTCCGTTTAGGTTTTAGTTCGCTGAGTGCTAATATTGCTTTATAATGATTATAGCCATTGACATGCAACACGATTGAGTTACTCCCAATTGCCTCCAACAAAATGTATTCCTACTTTTATGCTCAGTGTTCCTTACCTGTGCTTATCTTTTTAAGGTTTCAGTATGGAAAGGAGTATACAAAGTCATTTCTAGAATGCTTGAAGAAAATGAAAAATATAGACTCAGACTGAATTCCCAACGATTATCTAGTGAAAGTAAGTTAACACCATTTTTACTGTATTAAAGAAGACTGACTTCTAGAACAATTAGTTAGCCTTACATCACATTAGACTGGTAGTTTTTCTAATTGTGACATTCAATATACAGCACTATAGAAATGAGACTACCTTGTTATCACTGTCATCATAATTAAAAGTACAAATCATTTTTAAGCAGTGAGTGTAGAGTAGACAGCAGGTGTAGGTGTGAATGGAGAAGTGCAGAAGGTATATGTTGCCTGGAATGGGCTGGCCAAAGGGAACATACTTATCTGTTAAATGTGAATTTTAATGTCAACTTTTAAATACAGATTACAAAACTCATCCATATTGATGAGGAAAAACACGTTAGCTGCAATATAAAATTATACATTTTGTGTCACTTTAGATAGTTGCTTCCTTTCCATGCATGCTGCAGACCAATTAATGCATTTAACACAAACTGCCCCTGAGTTATGGCCTTGATGTCATTATTTCATTCCTGGAAAACAACTCATGAATTCAATAAACCATATTCTAAAGCTGCATCAGTATAGAGTTGCTGTTGTGGCTAGCACAAAATTAAATGTAATCTAATATGTTTGTTAAAATAATTGGAAGTTCTGGATTCTCAAGTAATTATGTTGGATAAAATTTATGTAACTAATAATGCCACATAAATTGGTAAATCAAAATAGTTATTTTCTTCCCTTCAACAGGCATATCTTAATGCATATGCCACCACGATGAGCAAGTGCTTCTATGGGTTCTTAGGACATTCACTTGAAAACAACTTCTATGTGGCAGTCAGTCAACCTACAGTATATTAATTTTGTGAAGAATATTCTCATGATAATTAAAACAATGCCATTTTGTAAGCAACATGACACTGGAAACTTGTTACTGTTTGTGCAGTATTGCATCAGTAATAGTATAACTTGTTTGCAATAATGGTAGATAAACCAGTGTTTAGATTAGTGACATTTCCTTTTCTTATCCAATTTTATATGTGAGTGAGAGGAAGTTTCATATTTAAGAAGGCAAATGAGGCAGGAGAGGGGATTAGGAGGAAAGGCAGTCAGTGGTTTCTTAAATGGAAAGAGTGTTTGAATAAGCAGAGCAATGTACAAAAAAACCAGGATATTATCCTGAGCGTAATCCAAATCACTGCATGTGCTTGAACTTGTTGGGTTCTTATGGGCCTCAGCAAAAGACCTTCTATTAAATGTAAAGTGATCATATAAGGATTACTTAACAACTTAAAATTAATATACTGTGTTTTCCAGAAATAACATATTATAAACAAAAGGCATCCTTAAAATTCCTTATTTTGTGTTACAGTTTTAAGCCAGATTACAAAAACTTTTTTAAAAAGCTAGCAATGATATTCTAAAAGCATATTAAAACATTTATTTCTTAGTATGTATTTATTAATGGGAAAAACCAGTGCTAGAAGCCAACTTAAACTTTCCTTATATTTTTTTTGTTCCTAGACTCAAATTACACAAGATGAATCTTATCTTCTTCTGGTAAGAATCCATTTTGTTAACTTTTTAAATAAAGTATAGACTTTTTTTTTTCCTCTCTCTTTTCTTTTACATCCTACTTTCTCCAACTCTTTAGTGGGTGGTGGTGTTAGGTGCCATCGAGTTGCTTCTGACCCTTAGTGACTCCATGTACAACAGAACCAAACGTTGCCTGGTCCTGCACCATCCTCCCAATCGTTATGTTTGAGCCCATTGTTGCAAAAACTGTATCAGTCCATCTCATTGAGGGCCTTCCTCTTTAGTGGGTACATGTTGCTAATTTTTTGCTACGACCTATTTTCTTCCTCAAACCCAGTGTTTGGAACAAAGTGTTCATTGCCATCCAGTCAGCTCAGACTCGTGGTGACCTTATGCATAACAGAACAAAACATTGTCTGGTCCTGTGCCATTTTCATGATTGTTGGTATGTTTGAATCCATTGTTGTGGCTGTTGTGTCACTCCATCTCATTGTGGGTTTCCCTTGTTTTTGCTGACTCTCTGCTTTACCAAACATGATGCTCTTTTCTAGAGACTGGTGATAGTAGGCACTCCATGAATACGTATTGAAATGAAAATTGCATTTGGGCCCAGTTTTCACCATGCTCTTGAAACTGCCGTTTCCACGTTCCCAGTTGTTTTTTTTTCTCTCCATATCTCCACTTAGTTCCCTTTCTCTTTGAACATGCTGTTACATTTAATATATTTTTTCCCTTATAGTGTCCTGCAGTCTACATCATTGTTCTCTTGCTGCCTCTCTGACCATATTTTCTGTGTATTTTTTATTTATCCTTTTTGCTTCTACCTAGTAACAGATGCTTCCTTAGGATTAATTATTGGCCCTACTCTCTCTTTACGTATTTCCTTTGAGATAACTCACCCATTTTTATAGCATCAGTTACTCTTCCTGGGTGTATGACCCTTAAGTCTCTCTTTTGCCTCTGACTTCTAGTTATGTACCTCTGATTTTCTTTAGGTGATTCTACAGTCATCATTAAATGCCACATGTTTTAAACTGTGTATCATTTCCTCCCCTTTCTTTTTAATTGTCCTCTTGATTTATTAATCACCCAGGTTCATTCAGTTCTTAGGGAAAGATTATACCCAATTGATGGGGTTTGGGGAGTGTAATAGAAGAGGTAAGATAGGGTTTAGAAAACAGAAATCAGACTTAAATAAGTGGGAGTGTGAGAAGGGAGTATATTTTAGGTATGTACACAAATTCATGGAAGTGAGGTAAAAAAAAGTTTAGAGAATGTGTAGGTTGATTAGTGCATAAAGCTTGTGTAAGGTTGTCATAGTGAAGAAAGGTGTAAAAGTTTATTGGCATCGTATCTCAGAGTGTCTCACTTTAATGCTGGGCCAAGGCTTTCTACTCGGCTTAGTAGGAAATGAAGAAACATGGCACATTTTGTTAACCTTTTATTTTGAAGGATTTCAGACTTACAGAACAGTTGCAAGAGTAATACAAAGAATTCTTGTATGCTTTATACTCAGATTCACTGATTTTTAGCATCTCACCACATTTGGTTTATCATTTTCATTCTCTTTCTTCCTCTGTGTGTATATATGTGTATATAAAGTATTACCCTTTAATAACCTAGAATATATATCCTAAGAACAAAAATATCTTTTATATAACCACATATATACATATAGTAGTCAAATTCAGGAAATTTAACATTGATGTAATACTTTTATGTGATTTACAGTTCATACTCCATCCCCCCCACCTCGATTATCCCAATAAATGTCTTTAATTTTTTTTTCTGGTACAGGATCCAGTCCAGGATCATACATTACACTTAATTGTCATGTCTATTTAGTTTCCTTTAATATGTAACATTTCTTCAGTCTTTCTTTGTCTTTCATGATATCGACATTTTTGAAGAACACTGGCCAGTTATTTTTCAAGCTATCCCTTCCAGTCTTGCTAATATTTTTTTATGATTGGATTCATATAATGCATTAAAAAAATTTTTTTTATTGTACTTTAGATGAAGGTTTACAGAACAAATAGTTTCTCATTCAACAGTCAGTGCACATTTGTTTTATAACATTGGTTAACAACCCCATGACATGTCAACACTCTCCCTTCTCGACCTCGGAGGACTTTTTTTTCGGTGAAAATATACATAGCCAAAGTTACACCATTTCAAAAGTTTCTACATGTACAATTCAGTGACATTGATTAAATTCTTCTGGTTGTGCTGCTATTCTCACTATCCTTTTCCAAATTATTCCATCACCATTATCTTCATCTCAGTGCCCCCAGGCTTCCCATCAAAACTTTGAGTTACTGTTGTCAATTTGATCTCACATAGATAATTCTTTTTTTATTTTTGTACCTTAGATGAAGGTTTGTAGAACAAATAAGTTTCTCATTAAATAGTTAGTACACACATTGCCCTATGACAATGGTTAACTGCCCTATGACAATGGTTAACAACCCCACGACATGTCAACACTGTCCCTTCTCAACCTTGGGTTCCCTATCACCAGCTTTCCTGTCCCCTTCAGCTGTCTAGTCCTTGCCCCTGGACTGCTGTGCCTCATTAGTCCTGTTTTGTTTTATGAGGCTGTCCCCGGCTGAACAGTGAACTTCAGGAGTGACTTCACCAGTGAGCTAAAAGGGTGTTTGGGGGCCATACTCTCAGGGTTTCTCCAGTCTGTCAGGCCAGTAAATCTGGTCTTTTTTTTTGAGTTAGAATTTTGTTCTACATCCCTTTCCAGTTCTGTCCAGGACCTTCTATTGTGATCCCGGTCAGAGCAGTCAGTGGTGGTAGCCGGGCACCATCT